TTTATTTTACATACAAAGGATGTGACAGTATACTATTATCTGCCTACCGCTTTTCCATCCTTCAAACCCAAAAATATGGCTCCTAGATTTCCTAGGTAGAGCTATCACCAAATACCAAGATATACAACCATTAACTCTACTAACTATGCCATCTGATAATGGAGGTAATCAATCATCACCTCTGAGGTAACCGTCCTAGTCTCAGATACTATCGCCCTCTGCTCTAACTCATCCACACGTTTCTCCAACATTCCTATCTCAAGCTGTTGCAACTGAGTCTGGTCATGAGCCTCCTCGATATGATCATATGCATGAAGGACTCTCTTCTCATCGATATGTCATCCCTGCTCAAGCTCACAAACTCTGTCCGTCAACAACCTAAAATCCTTCCTCAATGACCAAAGATCCTCCTCTATGCAATGTATACTATGTGCATGTCGAGCTACCCGTGGAATTAATACCGATATCGCCCTATCGGTCGGGGACTATAGGATAGGATCTCGTAAGGGTGCCTGAGATGACTCACCTACCTCATACAATCTGATGTTATTCTCCTCAATCCACTCATCAATCTGAGGAGTCCATCTATGGGTGGGGCAATGCCTTTTCGAGGCTCTGGGTGATGATGGAGGTGATGTTGCTCTCTTCTGGAAGAGTAAGGAATTGGATTTCCTAGAGGTATTCTTTCGGAGCGGACCTATGATGTGGAGTCTGAGCGACTGGTGAGAAGTTGATGGTGTGGATGGTAGAACCTTTACTATATGTAAGGGCTCTGGGTCACTCTCTCGGGTGTCATCCTCGACCTGAACCTCTGTGTCATCGTGATTAACAGGGTCATCACTGGATGATGAATCCTGATATGGAGAACTATCCGCTAGACCTTAGTCGTTCGCTCCCTCAGGTGACTCCTCCTCCTCGAGTGGCTCCATCTCCTCAGGCTCCTCCTCCTCAAATGAATCCTCTGGAGATATAGGTGAAGGTGGTACCTACATCCAAGGGTCATAATGGTCATCTGGCTCTGGCGTGTGAGGTACTACCTAATCTTCCTCGGGTAGGGGAATACCATCCAAATACCCATGTCGGCCATCTATTTCCTGTAAACATTGCATAAGACATCAAACAAGTTAGATTTTTATGAGATGTAGAATAGGAATACATATAATATTTAATTATAGTATATAATAGATACTACCCGGTCTCTCGTGAATCTCTCTACATAGGTATGTCAGATATCAAACTCTAGACTATCAATCCATGCAACCTCAAAAGTGAAACTCGACTATGATTTGAATCCTCAAGTAGTAGGTCTCGATCTAATCCTCAAATCTACTAATTGAACTAGACTACTGATCCATAAATCCTCAAGCGCTTAGATTGTCAACTACCATATCCAGGTTTAGGCGTCCGTCGGTCGGACCATAATAAAACTTAGTTGTGCATTCTAGGTCTAGTTGTGGTACGACCGTTGTATTGAACTAACCCTAGGTATTCTTTTTGACCTAAAATCTTGAGTTGTGATTTATATGGATGTTATTTATGATATTTAGGTATATTTATATGAGTCTATATAAATTTATATATGATTATGGTTTGATTAAAGGTATTTTATTAATTCTATGCTTTTTACTTCAAGACTATCAAGTAAGGATTGGCCACATGAGAAGTGTTGGAGGGCAGGATCATTTTAGCTATAGTCGTTCTGAAATCCAGCAACCCAAGCAACATTTCAAACTAGTCACCTCGCCTGTAAGTAGTCTAGAAGTAGTGTAATTAATAATAATACTTTTAGTTATTGGGCTTAAGGGTTAAACATAATTAGAGTATTTTCCCTAAGGTATAGTCGTAGTTCTTAAAGAATTACTAGTTCGCTATAACTTGTAGCTCTGATACCAACCTGTCACACCCTAGGCCCACGGTGGAAACGCCGAGTCGTGCAACGTTTAGGGATGTTGGATCTAAAGACAAGTATATTGAACAATACACGAAAATATAAAACAACTGCTTCTTTTATTCATTATTTGATAAAAAGGGGTTACATCACTCGACATCCAAACACTCCCTAAACATAAACTAAATGAAAAAAAAATAAAATAAAGCTTCCATCGGTCAGGCGATGACTTCCTTCGACACTCTACTTCCACTGCTACTCATTTCCTGAGAATACACGGGTTTTGAAAACGTTAACGTAATGTTGGTGAGTTCACAGGTTTTTAGGGTTTTATACTTTTGAGAATTGTTTTTATAACTCTTTAAAAGGGTTTCTATTCTTTGTATTATGTTTTCCTAAGATAAACCACTCTTTTAGCATTTGTCCTATAGCTTTTTCTTTTATAGATTTATATTTCTTTTTCTTATCTTTTCATATTTTTGGTACTTCCTAGGCATTCTCCTCTAGGTAGTTTAATTTATTAAGGTTGGTGGGTAAGGGTACAATGAGTCCCTTTAATAGAGCTATATGACTTGAAATTTGACTGCCGCAACGCTTTATCAGACATCGTAAAAAAGACTATAAAGTTATGCATGTCGAGGTTGTAGCTAGCAACCGCATGTGGGAGTGTCAATCTCGTATATATCGATACATACCTTTAATGCTCACTTAAGATTAACGATTATAAGTCTGGGGTATCCGAATATCAATCGGCTATGGATGAATAATATGTCTCATTTAACACTTACTTTGTTAACCCTTTTAAGTATGATTATTTATCTTTGTTATTATTTCTTTAGTTTTTCCTTTAATATACTTTCCTTACATAGTTATTCATATATATATATATATATATATATATATATATATATATATATATATATATATATATACTCAACCTTATATATATATATAATAATTATCTTTGCTTTGATATCTTTGATAGGATATTAGGGCAAAGTAACAACTAAGTTCAATGCTTATCCTAAAATTTGGCCAGCATAACGACTAGAATCTAGGTTTTTCTTGGAAATAGGCCAGCATAACAACTATGTATAATTCTAGAGTATAATCTTAGACATTCACTACTAGAAAACTACCCTTTAATGACACGCAGTGATTTACGATGCGCATTTTTTGTGTGTCCTAAAAATAACGTCCATTTTAAAAAAAAATGAAGGATAGAGGACATGCATTTTTGTGTGCCCTAAAATTAATGTCCAATAAAAAATAAAAAACACGGAGGGAACCTAAGTTAAAATGAGTGTCGTGTAGAGATATCGCTTTATATTTTATGAAACACACGTTTTCTTCTTTGGGGGGAAATGAAAATCCCAAAAGTTTGAAAGGCCACCATTTTATCCTCTACCTTACTTCCATCGTTCTTCTCTCTTAATCAATACCCAAAAAAACCCTAATATTATCACTACTCCTCGCCAACCACTGGCGGCTACCGTCGGCCATGTCCTCCGGTGACCAATGGAAGATGTTCGCGCAACCTACACAATCAGTAAAGAGCTAGGTCGCGGCCAATTTTGTGTGGCGTATCTTGATCGTCTCTCTCTCTCACACACAAAAACACATTCGCTTTTTCGCTGCTGGGTTGCACATTCTTTCTTTCTCTCTCCATACTTTTCTTAAATCCTCCGCAATCTCACGTCTTTTTCACCAAATTCCTCTCTTTACAGCAAAACCCATATTAATAATACCCTCCGTTATCTTCCTCACTGTGAATTCACCCTAATTGCCAGCTAAAAGACTAGGGTTTTCGCTTTTGCTATAGAAGAAAGGAATCTAGGAACTTCGGTGTTGCGAGGTTTATGAGGAACAAAGTTACCAAAGAGCTTGTTGCTATGAAATATATAGAAAGAGGACACAAGGTATATACGCTTTTCCGCATATATATAGTCTTAATTTTATTCAATTTTATTGTTATCTTATTCCAAGATGCTTGTTTTCTTATCTGAAAACTACTATACGCTAATTAAAAGAATTTTTGTTCTATTTTGGTTGTAGATTGATGAGAATGTTGCTATAGAAATCATCAATCATAGATCCCTCCGACATCCAAACATAATTCGATTTAGAGAGGTAATCTTATCTTATTGTGTTTTCTCTACTCATAAAGATGGTATCCTTTTCATCGCACCATGGATAGTATTTTACATGATATATATATGGTACTTAATAGGTAGTACTCACCCCCACCCACCTTTAGGCTCATTCTTCCATGATATTAATATTAATTTCTTTTTAATTTCGGTTTTACACATGATCAGATTCTTCCGAACTTGAAATTCATTCACCTCGAAAGCTTGTGCAGCCTCACATCTTTTCCAGTTTAGTGGGTCGCCTCTGTAGTCTGCATCTCTGTAACAGTCTTTTGGTTCAACTTTGTTGCAAAAGCTTATGAATTTATTTTGATTTGTTTTCAATATGCTAGATTGAAGAAATCACTTGTGGTTATTGACAAGTTTCAGTTTTCATTACACAGATTATGAGGTTTAACATTTTCTGCATGTGAAATTTCTTAGAGATATTTGAAGTAGTTGACAGAACTTGGGAGACAATTGAGCAGACTTTATGGTCACATATTTCTAACTTTTTCTAACTTGCTAAAGAAAGCCCACAAACACTTGTATGTGCTTTGAGGTAGGTTTATTATATATCAATCAACAATTCAACATCTTTAAAAAGTTATAATCTTTGTATTATTTTCTTTCATATTAACTTTTTATACACTTTTAGGGTTGTTGAAATAACAAAATAACTAAAAAGTAGTCTATTTATTTCATGTTAGATCAGAACATTGTTTTTTCTATGAATATCATTTCATAGGGCTCATGATGTGCTTTCTGATTTAAGCATAGTTTGGTGATCAAATTAACCTCCCGGAAGAAGCATATTTGACATTAATTCAAGTTCTCCGTTTGAATTAATTCAATTTTGCTTGTTAATAAACTAAAATAGTGTCAATATTGTTACATTCCTCCTAAGAATCTTATAGCTATTGTAGACATGCAGGTATAAAGAAAAGGAATGGGATATTAAGCAGCTTGTGGGATCTGGTGGCATGCCATCATCACATTCAGCAACTGTGACTGCTCTTGCTACTACTGTTGGTTTTCAGGATGGTATTGGTGGCACTACATTTGTAATTGCTCTCATACTAGCTTTTATTGTATGATCTCTCTCTCTCTCTCTCTCTCTCTCTCTCTCTCTCTCTCTTTCTTTATTGCTGTTGTTTGTGAATTCATTGTGTTGCATCTTGTAAATCAAACTAACAGTTTATGGTGTTTGTAACAAACATGTAATGTATGATGCAAGTTGTGTTTGTAACAAACATGTACTGTTGAATCAAATAGTATATGCTCTTCCTACTGAACATCCCTTACCTGATAGCAGACAACTTCGTGAACTTCTTGGGCACAACCCTCCTCAGGTCTCTTTTCTTTTCTTGCATTTTCATTTCTATTTCTAATATGAAAAACACATTTTTATGTATAATATTTTTATTTAACAAATTCTTTTTCAGGTTGCAGCTGGTGCATTGTTGGGGTTCCTTACAACAACAATTGTTCACTTAATCTCTCAAGTTGCTACTATGGCTTGACAGTTGACATAAGGATCCTTCTGCAACACATTCTGCTGAAGAAGTAGCACTTGTATGTAGCATTTTAATTATTAGTAATGTAATCATATTTTCTTGATTCCCTTATAAGCCGAACGTTTCTTGACATTTCTACCCTCAGGATTTATCATGTGTTTATGCGAAAGACCTTCATGTTAGACTAGCTTGTTTAAATGTTGCAAAATGCATCCCAACAATATCCAGCCGGATTGCCTCAAATGATCCCGAAAAGGTAAAAGATTCAACTTGTTTTTTAAATCGTGTATTAGATGGGATTAGTTTATATCAAGTCTGTACCACATTATATGCAATGCAGTCGGTGGCTGAAGTGGCTGAGGACCTATGGGATCGTTATGACCATGAATTTGGGGCTGATTATTCTGGACTCTTTAAAGCTCTTTCTCATGTGAATTATAATGTTCGTGTGGGTGCTTCTGATGCATTAGCTACTATATTAGATGAGTACCCAGATACGTTACAGGTGATTACTATTTGCTACCAATTCTTAATTGATTTATTTTAAATATGTTACAAGTATTCTCTTACACTTACGCATTGATATATGTTCAGGAATCTCTAGCGACTTTGTTCTCTCTATATATCTGTGATAGTGGTGTTGGTGAGGATATGATTGATTCTGGTTGGTTAGGGAGACAAGGGATTGCATTGGCTTTACATACTGCAACTGATGTACTTAGAACCAAAGACCTTCCGGTTGTTATGACTTTCTTGATATCTCGAGCCTTGGTAAAGTTTTAATTTTTTGTTCAAAGTTTTTGATAGTTAGATTAGATATTATACAAATGCAGTTTTCAAACTTTTGATGATTTCAACTACAGGCTGATACCAATGCTGATGTTCGAGGAAGGATGATTAATGTTGGTATCATGATCATTGACAAGCATGGAAAAGATAATGTCTCACTTTTATTTCCAATATTTGAAAATTACTCAAACAAAAAGGTCAGTATATGCTGTAAATAAAATTTTTCACTCAAGGTTAAGTATGCCGTAATTATACATGTAAGTTTATATAATTTCTATCCCTCATATTTTAAATATTTCCTTTCAGGGGCGTGTTCGGGTTTTGGCATTAATAGTGAAGCTATTTTCTACTTCAAATGCAGTTGCATCTTTAACTAAAATAATAACAACAACAATAATTACTTTTTTACCCTTCTGTCACCCTTTATCCTATTCTAACAAATCAATTTTTTCCACATTAATTTTGAAATTAAATTATCAATTTATGCTTAATTTTCTTTTCTTTCAGCAAAATATTGTTATCATTTTAATATAATTAACTATTATTATATTAATACATGCTAATAGAACTAATGGAATAAAAAAAAACTAAAGATTGGAATGAGTTGATGGAAGACATCAAATTAGCTTTTTTAAAACACGTTTATGCCTTTGACTTCTATTGTTGTATAGACCGGAATGGTGGTTTCTCTTGCAGCATGCTACGAATGTAGCAGTTGGAACTTGGAATGGTATGTAATGAATGTGTAGGCTTTTTGGTTACATGTAAGTTTTTAAAGTCCATTGTTTCTAATTTCTCCATTTGAATTACATGGATTTGTGAAACATCCCAAAAATACAGACCAATAGTTTCGTTTTAAAGTCATTTAAGAAAACCATAATTCATCAAACATCACAATAAAGATCATAAGTCATGTATCTCAAATCATCATAACAAAATATTTTATCAAAATCATGTGTCAAAAAATCAGAGTGAAAACATCCCAGGCTAAACAAATGGTGTGTGCACTGCAATCATCCTGAGCTCCTTTTTTGAAAACCGAAGTACCTGAAACCAAAACTGAAAACTGTAAGCACGAAGCTTAGTGAGTCTCCCCAAACTACCACATACCATACACATGATCACATAACATAAACATATCAACATATCATGGGCCCCACCCTGCTACATCAGGCCCCGCCCGGCATCGGCCTCGTCCGGCATCGGGCCCCGCCCGACATCGGCCTCGTCCGACATCGGGCCCCGTCCGGAATCGGACCGAGATCGGGTATACATATAAACATATCACCAATGCATATAACATAACACATAACATAAACATAACTTGGGCCTAGCCCACTACATCGGTCCCTGCCCAGCATCGGCTTACCCGACATCGGGCCCCGCTCGGCATTAGACCGCATCCGGCATCGGGCCCCGCCCGGCATCGAGCAAAGCTCGACATATATATGAGCATATATACTAAAACACATAACATAAGCATAATCATCTAAACACAATCATAGATACATTCCTCGGGCCTCGTCCGACATCGGATCGAAATCCGAAAAGCATAATAACATTCCTCGGGAACCGCCCCTGCATCGGACCGGAGTCCGAAAAGCATTCAAATAGAAACACATGCAAGAATCACAAAGACATCATGCATACAAACATTCATCGGGTACCGCCCCGACATCGGGTCGCAACCCGAAAACATATAAACCTACATCGGGCCCCGCCCGACATCGGACCTTAGTCCGAAACTAACATATATAACGGGCCGGCCTTGGTGCCTTAGACCCGTTCCTATAGGAGAAGACTCACCTCGCACTGCTGAAGTCCCGTAGATAATTCTATGGTTGCTGGCTGACAATTCTTGAACTGTCAATCATCAAAACAAAACCCAATTAATCATTTGGGTTTCAATGCATAACCATAAACACACACTTGGGGTAAAAGGACCATTTACCCTTAACATAGCTTGGTCCAAGACCAAGGCCCAACTCATATTTTGAAGGCCCAAAAGTCAAACAATGAACTAAAGCCCAACATATGGCCTCCTCACATGGTCTTTCCTTAAGGCCCAACCATTTATTCTGGTCCAAACACTTGGCAATCCAATGGTCCAATATCTCATAATCATCAAGGCCCAGCTATGGCCCATCTATGACCCAATTGTTTCCCAATTGGGCCCAAGCCTGTCCAATGGGCCTTATCCTAAAGCCCAATACAAATATGTTAGTCCATATACTTGTTCTTGGATGATCCATCAATAGTCCAAACATCTAGGCCCAACAGAAAAGACCCAACTCAAAACCCAATACAATTAGGGTTTCACATGAAATAAAGATTAGGGTTAAGTATTCTTATTTAACCCATTAAGGACTTAATCCATTAAGTCCATCACCCCATTAGGCCATTCATACAATGTGGTCAGGAGTAAATCAAATTTCCCAATCCAACGGTCCAACGTGGGTCACGACAATCCCAAACCAACACTTTCCAAAATTAGGGTTTTCTAAACCCTAATTAGGGTTTTCAACCCAATCACAACCAATGAAGCCCAATATCAAGCTATTGGGCCGATTAGGGTTCTACTAGGTCGAGCACCACCCACTGCTACCTCGGGCAGTGGTGGTCGACGGCGGCTCACGGCGGTGGTGTTGGTCTTTCCATTAATCCTTTCGCCAAAAATGCTTAAACAAGTCCCATTTTTCTACTAAAAACACTCACACACCATAACATACACGCACAACCACTACCATACGACAGCTGGTGGTGGCGAAGCGGTGACAGGAGGTGGCAGCCACCACCTCGTGGTGGTGGTGGTGAGTTTTTCGGCCCTATATATCGCAAACAACTCCAAAAACACCATAACAACATATATATACTCGAGCACCTAACATCCGGCCGCCTTCTATACGGTTGGATTCGCCGGAAATGACGACCACAGTAGCCCAAAATCCACTGACGGTAGCAATAACGTACACGACGTCAAACAGCGAGAGGGGCGACGGAGAGGAGCAGAAGCTAATCTTACCGAGAGTTTCCAGTTGTTCACGACGTCATGCAAGGACGAACGCCGCCCAATCCTCGGTCTTCGGCGGTCTTCTCAGCTGCCCACGACAGTTACCGCTTCACCTTTGACTTCGCCGACGACAGGAGCAACAACGGTGGTGTTCGACGGCCATGCGACGAGGAGGTGGCGATGGGTGGAGTGCGAGGGCACAAGGGTGGCGGTTGGACTTCACGCAAGGGGCTGAATAACAATGCTAGGGTTAGGGTTGTTTTAAGAAGACGTGGGGAATGGAGATGGGTTAATCCCGTGTCTCATTTCTAACTTGTGCCAAATTTTCCAAGTTTGGTCCCTCCTCCTCAAAACATGTTCAACTTATGTACAATATTTACCAAACAACCCCTATCTTTAATAATTCATTACAATACAAGCCCCATAAGTTACCCTTTAACCCCCAACATTTAAAAATCCTTTCAATTTAAGTCCCAATAATTACCAACCAGCCCCCGCCTTCAGAAATATTTACAAAGTGGCCCGAAAATTACACTTTAACCCCCGAATAATCCAAATTATAACATTTGGCTCCCAAAACCAACACCCCACTAAATATTATGGATTTTAGGGCTACTATTCATTCATCAATTTTATCTATTTATTTATTTATCAAATGGTATGTTACAACTCTCCCCCACTTAAATTTGATTTTGTCCTCGAAATCATTCCTTACATGCCATACAACTTGAACGACATGGCCAAAACCCGAGCATAACCTATCATTTCTAAGGCAACCAAAACCAACCATCACAGGGTTCTAAAACGCGAAGACAAACGAATTTCTTGTATTATGGTCCCATTACTTAATCTGAAATCTTTAGTCTCGAGATGGTCTGACTCCCTGACAGACCGCCCATACTGAATCATTATTGTTGAACCCAGTCCACTTATATCTCAACTGACTACTCAACTTCTGATAACTCGAGGTTCCCATTAGAAAACAGAATCCCATACCCAATTATCCCTGCAGATCACTATACTTGGCCAAGGCTCAGATAATCTCACTGAGAGTGACTTAGCATAACCCAGGCAATTTGTTACCCATCCATACCTGAAATTCTAAAACACTAATGCTAAAACTGCCCAAACACTGAAACTGCCCGAAACAGCATGCTGCCACATGGCTACTTTCCAAAATCTACAGAGATATCCCTAGTCTCAACTCGTTCACCAGTCATCTGAAATATCGGGTTCCGGCCCGGTTGTGGAGCCATAAGACTCCCACGCGGTCACTTGTAAGGGTGCAAAGTCACTCTTGGATGTTATGAGGGCTTAATCCTTTGTGTGTGCATAATGAGTTGTCTTTCCTTTATAAGGAAGTGAGTGACACTCATTTTATCTAATGAACATTTTGAGAGATTAGTTTAGAGAGAGAATTTGCAAAACCCATTTTGTACTCTTTCTATGAAACTAATGAGAGCTTAAAAGAATTATTTAGATCTTGTGTTCATGTTCTTTATTTTACTTGATGATTCACTAAATCATTCTTAATTCCGCACATGCCATCATAATCAACACCACTACATCACTCCACCCGACTTCCGAACGAAATCCTTGTCTGTCAACAATTGCCACTAGATATCTTGCCACTGTGGCTCTAACGACCTTCTGATCTGACTGATTGGGTCCATATGTCAAGTCCTGACATTACCAAATCCAAGGCTAAAAGTGATTGCTATATGACCAAGGGTAGCCTTATATCACAAATGACCTTAAACGGTCCATTGCTTCCTTGATCCCCTGACTGCAGTGATGTTCCTACAGTCTTATCACTGGCTCAAACAGGTCTAATTCATCTGGGGAAATCCGTAAACCAATCTGTGGATTTGCCACGCCCTCACTGCTGCACCCGAACTGATGGGTACTATTGTTCCTTCCGTGTTCCAACAACACGCTCATGCTATCTACCAACATAGTGAATGCTACGACTATACCCGCAGTCTCACAAAACTCTAACAGTATCTGGCTGTCAGTGAATGCTACGGCTATCCCGCACTCTTACATCACTTTCCACACTGTCTCAATCGCTGATTACCAATCTGAACACATCCGACGTCGAGCATACACACGACCTAGCATCCCATCTGAACTAATGTCCTGACTGGAATCCCCAACCTGGTTCCCTGAGGCCTGCTATCAAACATTCTGAGAACACGATCTCATTATTGGTAAGTTTTCCGAACTTCCAACTCACATTATCCTCAATCCATACAGCCGCTTGGGCTGTCTTCCTTCCTGACAAGGATGCGAAACTTATCCCAGTTTTGAAACCGTTCCTGCTACTGAATCCCTGGACGATTCTCCCCCACTTAGATTTGACTAAGTCTTCACACTGCATGAAAATTGAAGAATTCCCAATCCTTCTCACTTTCCAACGATCGATCCGATAACAACAAAGTATTATCCACCAGTGCTCCATTACTAGCCAATAAATAACGGTTACTAAGACCACCGAATCCTGTCGATGCTGGATAACCATCCTGCGGAACCCTGACTGTAGACCTTCCACAGAACACCCCTGATCCGATCTCGACCATAAACCAAAACGACACTATACACTCCCAACCCGCAATTAGGGAAATGACCTTTCGCTACCCACTAATAATTATCGGTATGCAATTGGCATATGAAATCTCTTAAAAATATGATTCAAACACAGACAGAGGTTAAACCGAGAGTTACACTTACTCAAACCCT